TCCCTCCCCTCCCCTCCCTTTTGAGTTAAGCCTTTGACATGACCTTATTTCCTGATGGAGTGTTTCTCAGAGTGAAGAAGGCACTGTAGACATGTGTTGTGTTACTCTAGGTATTCTTCCTGTACTCTGTCTGGAGCAGAAGGGCCCTGGAGCATCCAGATTTGGGGTCCCCTCCCTCTACCCCGGTCCCCAGTGAGGGAGGGTGTTGCCACCTGTCTGCATGTTCGAGTCCGGGTGTTTCCTTGCTTTGCCCCTCCAGCAGGCAGAATTGAAGTTTTCAGCTAAAAGAAAGGTGTGGCCTGGGCGTGAGGAGCTGGTTAGTCTTTAAGCCAAAGTTAGTCACTGTCGGTTTAGTGACAGTTTCTGTTCTGTGAGTGGACAGTCAGGCAGGACTAAGGGGTCCGGGACACTCTGTGGGGGAGACGGTGCAGCGTGGTACAGAGCCACACGGTGTGGCCTCCGTGGCCACAGTCTGGGGTGACATCCCGGCTCAGTGGCAGCGTGCCCAGAGACCCACCTGTGAATGGGAGCGATGGCTGCTAGGATTGCGGGCGACGAAATGACAGCGTATGTGGCGCACATGGCACACGAGTTCACGAGAGAACTGAGCTGTGGTAGGTGAGGGGACCCAGGGAGGGGCAGATGTTGGGAGGAAGATATCAGACTCAGCATTTGGGGAAGGAGGGTGTTACAGGCTGGACGTCGTGCCCCCAAAATGTATGTTCATATTCTAACCCCTGATGTGATGGAATTGGGAGGTGGGTCCCTTGGGATGTGCTCAGGTCATGAGAGCAGAGCCCTCCTGAGTGGGACCAGGGCCCTTATGAATGGGACCCCAGGGAGCTCCCGCGGTGTGAGGGTCTGGTGAGGAGATGGCCGTCGGTGAGCTGAGACGCGGCCCCACACCAGACACCAAGTCTGCAGGGTGCCTGGATCTTGGACTTCCGGCCTCCAGACTGGGGGACAGAAATTTCTCGTTTGTAAGACACCAGGTCTGTGGTCTTCCGTCATGGCAGCCCGAGCAGCCCCAGAGCGTGGAGGCCGAGACTCCGAGGCCACCGGATGCGGGCAGCGGTTCCACAGGCAGCCCTCGGACACGCAGATTCCAGCCCCACCCCATACGATACCCAGGGCACCGGTGCCTGAGATACGTAACCCTAACCAATGCCCCAGATGATTCTTACGCATAATCAGAAGTGGAGATTGGGCTTTGGAGTCAGTGCCCTCAGCCTTGTGGTTCAGTTCTTGGCTCCCCGTGGGCTAACCTTCTCTAAAGCCCCGTTTCTGCATCTGAGCAGCGAGGGTAGCCCGGCCTGGGGATCACTCCTGCCCGGCCTGCCTTGCCGGGCTGTCTGAAGCCTCACGTAAGACACAGACTGAAAGCGCTTTGCAGACTAAAGCAAAAACGATTCTTCTCTTTGGGAAGAAGTGGGAACATCGTTTTATAAGGCTTCCTGCTGCTTTCGACTCTGTCCACCAGAGGGCAGCAGGCGTCCGCACATGAAACCTCAGTGGTTCCTTGGGGTGAAATCAGAACTCCGTGAGGGTCTCTCATTCCCAGCAGGCCTTTTCATTCATTCATTCTAGACATGAACTGAGCCCCTTCTCTGTGCCGGGCACTGACTTGGCCAGGCACGGGAGAAATAAAGGTGAATCAGGCACTGGCCTGGTCTTGAAGTCTCCTGGCCTTCAAAGTAGCGTGAGCATTTCTGGATCCCACCCATGTGTCAGGTGCTGTTCCTGGATCCCACCCATGTGTCAGGTGCTGTTCTCAGTTCTTTATGTGTCAACTGATGTGACTCCTGCCAGGTGGGCATAATTGACCGAGGAGGGAACTGAGGCCGGAGAAGTTAAATCAAGTCTCACATCCAGGGAGAAGCAGGGATTTGAATATGGGCGGTCTGGCTCCAGAGCCCACACTCTCTCTCGTTCAGTGAGGGAAGGTAGACATGATAGTGACTCAGCAGTAAGAGCTGTGAGAGAGACTTGCCTTAGTCACTCCTGTTCCCAGGCATGCTGGCGAGGCCTCACTGAGCTGGGCCATGGGACGTGCTGGGGAGATGATGCCCCGGGAGCAGCCCTGCTCCCAGGGCTGGTGTGAGTTGGAGGATAAAGGGTAACTCTGACCTGTGTTCTGTATCGCCCCCTAGTGCTCCCCAGCGGGACGGAGCTCCAGGTGCCCAGGGCAGTACCCTGCTCCCTGGCTGCTTCCTCTGCCTCACTTGCCTGCACTCCTACTATTGTTTCCTGGGATCACCTGCCAACTGAGCTATTCCCGCTGCAATCCTTGGTCAGGACCTGCTGCTGGCAGAGTCCCGCTGGTGACACTGTGTCT